TGTATGTGGCAATATAACAAAAATATTGTAAATTCTATTGTTTATTTCTCATAAGGTAAAAACAAACCTTAACTGTTTGTTAAAAAAAGTAATCTGCATGTTGGCTTAATGCTACTGTGGTTTAGTTTAACAGATCAGGTGCCAGCTATGAAAAAACTTGCTGTGACAGCTAAGAAGCTCTTGCTGGGAGCATTCCACTTAATGGACTATAGAGATGCCACTGAGTGGAAGTTCTGCATGGCAGAAGTTGGCTGTGATGGGATTGAAGCTGACACTGATGGTAAAAGGCAGATGCTGACAGAATTGCTTGGGAAAAGTCTGTGCCTTTATGAAACAAATGCCTTGCTGCAATTGTGCCTGTGTTCTTGATGGTTCAGCCTTTTAAAAGTGGGCTTCAGAGAACTTTGCCTTCTATTAGTGACAAGATAATAGAAAAATGGTATTTTTATTTTCAAGTGTAGCTGTGTGATTGCCACGTTCATGGTTATCGGATAACTGTAGTCATGGATGTTAATTATGAAGGTTCTCTGTAAAAATATCTGCTTTCCCATCAGAGAATTGATTATTTATTTATTTATTTATTTATTTATTTATATGTTAGATTTAGGATGTATTTTACTTATTTTAGGAAGTATGCCATGTGAAAATCATGTGATACATAATTACACTGCTGACAAACTAACTACTCAGGCTATCTGGCAAAACAGATCCATGGAGTGTCCTTCCAAAAGTGGTGTTGGGGGATCAGAGATCCTCTGGTGCAAATTTGGGTAAAGCAAACAGTGTTGTAGAATATTTTAGGGGCACATTACATCGAAGCAGAAATTGGTTTATTGACAGGCCTAAAGAGAGGTAAGGTTATAGTCCCTCTTTATAGACTTATACAAATTGGAATATATATGTGATTGAAAAGAATAACCAGGTATTTCATTGTCTATGACACATCAAATGTGTAGTAAAGTCAGTGAGGCCATTAGGGTGTAGCTATGAGGTAATGGGGCAGGACTCAAGGACAATGGGGTTTTGAAAGAAGAAAGGTAGTATTTCATGAACATACTATAGTTCCTTCCTAGGGAGTTACTTTCTTTTGCTTTCCCAGAGCTCTGCTTGCCTCCGGGTATCTTTCCCCAGGCTTTCAGCATTCTTTGGCCTTCTAAATGTTTTATAGCTAAGCAAAGTTTTTCCTGAGAAGATATATTAGGGTTAGGGCTTTTGATTTGACCCCAAGAATTCTCCTTTAACAAAAATCTCCTGAATTTCTGCAAACTCTCTCTGTTTTGCTTGATTCGATAAGTCAGTAGTAAAAGTGTTAAATTTTCTTCTACAATATTTGTTTTTGCAAATCCTTAGAAGTTTTTTTCCATCAGAAATAGTGTCATGATAATCACTAGTAGTGAATAAAAATAAAAGTTGGCAAGAATATTTTCTTATCTTGTTAGAGCTCACACATGCAGTCTTTCAACTACTACTATTTTGACAGATTACAGCCACATTAGCCTTCTGTGCTGTGTTAAATTCTGATTGCTTCTTCTGCAACCAAACATGTTGCTTTTCTCAGTTTTCTAGTAGAACTGAAAGGTGAAGAGTATAAGGAAAAATTGTGAAAATATGAACAAGAAATAAGAAATTGATATGCAATATTTCTGCCTTTAAAATAAATCCTGTAACAGTAACTTTTATTTTTGAAATAGGTTTATTTGCATCTGTTTGATCTGCAGTGCCTTTTTTTTTTTTACTTCTAATATATGGGGAGTCTATTAGTCTGCATTGTCCAGTGTTGAGAAATTTTGGCTGCCTGCAATAGTCAGCTAGAAATTGTATCAATCCTGACCTACTGCCCACATGGAAAAATAGAGTGTTGTCTCAGACATCTCATTATCTCTGATATTGAATCCTTTACAGGAATAAACCTTCTTTCTAGCTTGAGTTTGTTAAAGAAGGTGGACATTCACTTTTGCAGTTTTGGAGACACTTGAGTATCTTGCCAGCTCCTGATGCCATGCTTCATTTCAGAAGTTCTCAAATCACTTCTGAGATTCAATCTGATATTTTCGAACTTTTCTTTTAAGGACCAAAACTGAGTTGCCGATAATGGGACCTGAAAGTGGTAAACTATCTCCTTGGCCTAATAGAATGGTATTTTTGATTGGATGTGGACAACTAAAGATCTGATTGAGTTAAATATATGTTGGATAGCTCTGATAATTTTTCCAGCCATAGTTTCTTATTTCTACAATGGAAATAAGCTCTGGAAAAAAATCCTCTCATGTTGGAAAGTACTATGACATGTGACTTCTACATCCAACTTAATTTTTATTCTTGAAGGATATTGCTTAATTTTACAGAATGTTTTCTACTTCATAGACTCAACTGTGCAGTCAGAAGCAAATGTTTGAGTCTGTGGACCTGGCAAGCCAATCTGAAATCCATCACTTAGCCAGCAAGTTGGAAAGAGCCAATGATACTATTTGTGCCAATGAATTGGAACTGGAGAGGCTGAATACAAGAGTAGATGATTTGACTGATGCTAACCAGAAGATTCTTAAAGAACAACAAAAGCTCCTACATGAGCTGAAACTTTCCCGGAACTCTCTGGAGGTGTGTGAATGAATTGCTTGGAAGCTGAATAACATACAGTTTGCAGGAGTAGTTGCTCGGCATGTTATTTATTTAGTAGCTTTCTTCTAGCATTACACTGATGCTAAGTAGGAAACATGGTTTAGTAAGGAAGGGATTGTGTCAGGTGGTTCTTCACTTGAAATGTAACTTTAATCCTATTGTTTCCTAGTGATTTTCATTTTCTCCTCTGAAGGTTCTCCATGATGAAAAGATGGAACTAAAGGCCACTCTGCTGTCTCAGGAGGACTTCATCACAAATTTACAGATTTATCATGAACAATTACAGAAGGAGCTGTTCAAGCTAACTGAGACTCTGCATGTGAAAGAAACTCTTATCAGGTGTGGCTGTAAAGTTAAAATTTATTAAATATTTTATATGCCTTAAGAGAAGTCTATGGTACATTTGTTTTTCTTGTTCGAAGTCAAGAATATGTTCTAAACTTTCTCCAAATGTTAGGAAAATATTAACCTTAGATTAATATGCAATATGTCATTATTCTTCAATTAAGAAGGCAGAGAAAACATGATTATATGGGTTTATAACATAATTCAAAATGTTTTCAAAAATGTTTCTTAGTAAGAAAAACAGATGGATTCTTTCTGTGTTGATAATCAATACAACTGTTGCCTGTGTAAGAGAACTCAGCAAGCCAACAGTTTTTACAGGAAATTAGCATAATTTCCTTTGGTAAATTGAACTTTTTCTTAAAATTCTAGTAGAGCAAAGGTAATGAAAACAGTTACCAAATGTATTTGTGTATTATTATAATGTGATACTGTGCCTCTGGCTGTTGATTGTAAACACCATTGCTGCTATTTCTCTAGATTCAAAATTGTCAATTCAGTCGGTTTATGCATTGTGAATCACATTTTTTGAGATTGTATTTTTGCTGTGGTACGAATGTATGCTGCTACCCAGTGAATGCATGAAATCTCAGCCTTACTGAATTCATTACGTTTCTAGTGTTAAAAATTCTTCATGTTTCCTAAATTCGTTGTGAACTTCTGCCAGTAGTAGATAAGACTGGAACCAAGAGTAGGCATGGCCATCCTTCCATATGGTCTCTTTTTCCTAGAACCTTCTCACTTGTCCTACCTATGAATCTACTAGGAAAAGGGAAGATTTCTCTTATCGGAAGCCTGCAGGGGATTACCCTTCCCCAGTTCTCCATCCTTTACAGTTCTCCCTGTTTTTCCCTTTTTTGTCTTCCCCTTTTCTGGACTCCCCCCTTTCCTTAAAACTAGGCCCAGAGATTCACCCACCCATCCCATTAATATCCCACCCCACCCTTTTGTGTGTGTGTGTGTGTGTGTGTGTGTGTGTGCTTTCAAGTTACTTTTGATTCCTGACAACTACATGGATAAGTGACAAGAGGCTGACTGGCCCCAAGTCACCCAGGTGCCTTCATAAGGCAGGACTGGAACTCAGGCGTTCCTGTTCCTAATCCAGCACTTTAACCACTAAACCAAACTGACTCCCTTAATATCCTAGTAAGATATTTTAAATCACTGTTCCAATATTAGGAAGACCAGTGAAAATTCATTTGTCAGGTACTCGGGATAAAGGTTAACATAAGAACTTTGAAAGATGATTGGTAAGAAATTATGCTGTCATTTCATTGGCTGACAATAGCTACTAATGTAGTACTATGGTAGAACTTCTTTTATTACAATTTTGATAAAATATTTAAAGTTATTTTAAAGACATGTTGCAGTCTTCATCTATGTCATGAGTGTAACTACACATATGCCTCCCTCTACAGCTGGTATAACTGACTTTGTTTGTTAGAAGGCTTCAAGCACTGATCTGTTTTGTCCAGGCAACTGCAGAAGAATACAGGGGCCAAAAGAAACTACTATGATGGAGCAGAATTAGAGGAGGATTTACGCCAGCAGTTTGATTGTGCTGAAATGATTCATCTTGAGGGCAGGTACGTTACCTCAAAAATTTCTCCATCTTTAGGAAGAAAAACAACAACATAGGAAACAAGATGTACATCTTCAATGTGGTGGCCATTTAGACATATCTATATTTTTAGCAATTTACTGCATTTGGGGTTATTCATTGCTTTTGTCTCAAGAGTTATGCCTGACTGGATTTTGATTTTCTTCTGTTGAACTGTTAACTTTATTGCTGGGTGTGTCAAAATTAAACTTCAGAAGCAAAAAGTCTGCTGGATTTGTTAGATTTGGCATGTTAGATTTACGTTGCTTAAAAAAATACTTGCTTTTGATTTTGCATGTATCTTTCTTGGCTTTAGCCTAGGATCTCCAGATGAAAAGTGTATCCAGCCATCTGAAGAGCAAGCGAAGTTACAGGAGCTTCAGCTAACTGAAGAGCAGCTTTGCCAAGCCAAGGCTGAGATAAAAAAAGTGGGGATCTCTTCTGCAAATAAATACATTAAAATGTGTGATTTATATATCATTAAAACAGATTGAGGCAATACAGAATGTCTTAGATTGTGGAAATGTAGACATAGAAACAATGTATCGTTAAAGGGAACTAAAAGAGAGATTAATTATATTGAAGGATGATGACCCAGAATTTAAGATTATTCTCCCTGCAGCCAGAAAACACTCACTGCTTCCATTATTGTAATCTCCATGCCTCCAAAATGTCCTTTCCATTTTAAAAGTAAATTATTTATTAAAAAAACGCAGTCTCCCTTTCAGATTAAGTAAGTAAAATAAGATAGCTATAGAAAGTACACACTAATATCCATTTATATCTTGGGCTATCTAAGGTGCCCATTGCAGAATACTCTCCAAGAATGAGGGGGACTTCCGTGGTGTAACATGTGTCTTTATTACAGAGACAGCAGAATTTCCAAAATACCAAAAGAATAGCTGAATGCAAAGAATTGTAGAGAGAAATACTCATCCAGCCTTGGCATAAAAAGAAAAAACTGAACAAAACTGTGCACAATGAAATGTCAGTAGTATAAAGCAGCTGCTTGAAATCAAATGGAATATGGGCCAGCTGGTTGAGAGGGCATGCTTAGAAATTGAAATATAGTTCAGGTAGAGTTTTCTGTTAGATAGCACTAGAATATCTACCAAATAGTATGTTGTCCTTATTGGTATATCTTTTTTTTTTCTTTTCCCATCAAGTTTGAATAACTTGAGACAAATTTTGAATATGAATCAATCTAAAGAAAGAAAACTAGAACAACAGAAAAGGGCTATCACACAGATCTATAGGCACTCCTGGTTTTCTGAATGAAGGCTTTACATTTAACCCCACTCTTCCTCAAAATTGTGGGGTATCAGTGGGCTGAGGTGTATGACAATATTTGCCATCCTCACATATTTAGATGAGAGAAAGTTATGTTCTAATTACAATGAAGCTGCATTTACTCACTCAGCCCAGCATCACGATAAATAAAAATACTCAGTGTATTTCAAGCTTAATGGGAAAGCACCAATAAATTGTGATGTATGGGAATTTAAAACTATGAACTGAAGAACTGCTTCCTTTTTTCTTTCACACTGCTGGCTTCAGAGGCATTTTTTTAATTGGTTAAATCAATTTCCTAGTTCTGACATCATATGAGACTGTGGTTTAAGACACATAGAAATTTCTGTGGGCATTGTGTGAGGAGAAAAAGAAATACTTGAGCTTGTTCATGTTCCAGCAGATTGGCTCATTGAAATGACTGTTTCATCTAAATTGAACTTGAGTTACCCATTTAAAGTTGCATATAGCACTCTAAACACCCTAAATGTCTTGCATTCTCTCACTGTCCATATCAAATATCTTTCTCACACCAAGATGGAAGATGGTCTTCTACGAATAATGTATAAAATCTGAGGAGTTGGGAGTATTGTCCTAAGGTGCCATCTTTTCCTTGAGCCATACTGGGACCTTTAGGGATAACAGCTTTCCTTTGGACCCAGCATTCCAACTTGCTTTGTAAGACTTGCTGATGTTTACTATGAATGGCTTTAGGAGGTGGTTCTTGTTTTGTGGAAGTTGTGCCCTAATCTGCAGATCTTTAGGAATTCAAACTCTCTTCTAAAAGCTGTCTTTACTTGGTCTCATTTGTATGTTGTTGTTGGCCACTTTCAAGTGAGTATGGGAATTCATCAATTAGCTTATATTTGGTTGAGTATAATTACCCTAGATGAATACCCCAACTTCAGACAGGACTGTTTTACTGTAAATTAATGCAGTGGATTTCTGAAACAGTGCTGCAGTTTGGGATTCCATGATAATGTAACAGAGACTATCAGAGAACTTGGTATCACTTAATATGTTTTCTGATTATTATTACAAAAATAAAAAGATAAAAATAAGAGTCACTTTTATGTGAGATGGATGGCTATATAAATACGATAGATAGATAGATAGATAGATAGATAGATAGATAGATAGATAGATAGATAGATAGATAGATAGAAGAATGTTAACCTGCAAATTTGTATCCATTTCTGTCCAGCTGAAGGAAGAGCTATCCCACAAGGAGCAAAGTCATAGTAGAGAAGTGGAAGGAATGAGGCTGGAGATTACCCAACTAACACGGGAACTGCATCAACGTGACATTACAGTTGCTTCTTCCATGGGTTCTACTTTAAACTTGGAGCAACAGCTAAAAATAGAGATTGAAAAAGAGGAGCAAAAGGCGATAGAGCACAAGGTAAAACAACTGAATTTTAATATATTTTCTAGTATAGTACTATAACCTGTTAGATTGAAAATAGTAAAGTGAGACTTATTTTCTCCAGTCATTCACTTGTTGTACATCCTTTACAATTTTTGGTAATACTTTTTCAAATTTAGATGTAATTACTAGAAACTTCAGATTGTGCAAGTTTGGCTTCTCACATTTGAAATAATTTATCATATTAAAGAACACATGGCTTGATGAGAAGTGTATGACCAAAGGGCTATATATTTCCTGCATCTAATCTATGCTAACAATTAAAAGAATTAAATTTATTTCTTAAGGCTATCCTGTCTCAGTTGGAAGCTCTCAGACAAGAAAATCACCATCTATCAGAGAAGCTACAGAAGGTAGAATATATTTTGATTAAACTATGTTATTTCCTTAAATGCGGTGACTTGCTTGACTGCTTTGTTGTACAAACAAGTATTATTTTTATGCAAAGTTGAAGGTGATTAGGCAATTCTCCCCAAAGATACAACACTGTGTGTATCTGCTGTAGTAAAAGGTGATTAAGAAATTTGCTTCTCAACATACTATTCTACAGAGCATGATTTGTTTTTTAAAAAGTTGTAGACAAATGATTTGGTGTGACCACTAGATGTCAGTGCAAGTTCGTAGTCTTAGTGCTCCCCTCTTGATCTCTGCACAGAGAGAGGACATTTTTCCTAAAAAGACTCCATATGAGAATGAAAGCTTACAGATGTGTCATACTTGGCATGAAATGAAACTAGGCTTAGCTTGTTTTTGTATCAAGAAACAAGTTACAGAGTAAGAATAAGAAAAAGAACAAACATTTTATAAAGCTCTGTGTTTTTTACTTTATAATACAGCAGGATTTTTTTTTTCATTTGAAAATCCAGAATGAACCATTAGAATTTGCAAATATATTGCAGTTCTTGCAAACTAATGATAATGGGGTAGAGAACAGAAACTAACTTTAATAATTTTAATCATTTACCTATGTAACCATGAAGAAAAAAGAATGGAAATGACAATTCAAAAAATTTTTTGCTCAAGGCAACCAGTTATAAGTTATATCCTAATTTGTGTTTATCTTTGTTCTTGGCTTTGTCCATAATAGGATTTTTAGATCCATTGCTGTCCTTATACGAAGCAAAAATATACTAATCATGCAGGAACTTCAACTAAATGGAGTAATAAGAGATTTTGAGTACCCTCAACAATCAGAGAGCAGCCTCATTGTTTTGGATGTAAACTATGAGCCATATAGCTGAAACACATTTAACTCGACTGGTTTGTGAGTGATCACAAAGTGGTCTTGAAGTTCATACTCAGTTGAGATGAATGAGAGAAATTTTGCTCTGTAGGTTTGATTAGTTCAGATGATGACTCAGACATTTTGTGATTGATTTACCTTCCAATGGGGTTCTTTTCTTTAGTAAAAGACTTATAAATTTCTTAAATCTGTAAAACAGAAAATAAACTTTAGGAGGATTTGAGTTTCATCAAATGAAACATTTCTTACTAATGTATTTTTATCATTTTAAGGCAAAGAATACTTCCTTTGCAGAATTCCAAGAAAGTTATAACAAGGTTTTAAATAAAGTGGAACGTCAGAATAAGCAACTACAGAAAGAATTAGCAGAAACCAGGGCCAGCTTGGAAGCTTCGTCTTGGGTTTCTCAGAGCAATTATGACAATGTTGTGCAGCAATTGCAGCATCCAGTGACTGAGGTAAAAAATGCAGAGAACAGGTAAGAATTTATATGATTTTGAAAATGGAGGGTTTTTTTGGAAAGTTGGTTGTTTTACTACGGTACTAGATTTTGATTTTAAAAAATACTGAAGCACTCTAAAATATATTTAATTTTTTTATAATTTCTATTCATTTCCTTTATTTTTATTAACTGTAGGTGAGATTTGATTAATGTTTTTTTTCACATTATTGCCAAACAGAAAGAACATTGAAAAGAGATATTCTCCTCCTCCCTCCCTCCCTCTCTCCCTCCTGTCCTGTCCTGTCCTGTCCTGTCCTGTCCTGTCCTGTGATGGATAGGTTCTTATGATAGAAGCAGTTGTAATGTATGCCTTTTGAATAGCACGGAGGATAATTATATTTAAATTTTCTGTGGACTGTATTGCCTCCATGTGATTTCTGGCTGTGATTTCAGCACTTAACATGGATAGTTTCCCTAAACATTTTTGCAGATTTTAAGCTGAAAATCACTGGTCTGTTGGATCTAACGTACTATTTCTAATAAATATACAGACGAATGCAAGAACTACAGTGCAAACATGAGGAAGAAATGAAAGCACTTCAGACTAAATTTGACAGGACTGTTCAACATTATGAGGAGGAATTCCAGAAAGCAAAATACTTTCCATCCAGAATATTCCCCATTTCTAGTACAGCTGCTGGACTACCTCCACTCAATAGAATAAACAGTGTGGAATCTTTGCCCTGTGAACCTCTTGAGAGATCAGATCTTTTGCCATGCGAAAATACAGAATTTTCTTACATGGTATCGAGAGAGTGTGAGAAGGATTTTTTACCTTTGGTAAGCATAATAAAATGAGGGATATACTATTTTCTGATACCACAATCTGTTAGAGATTATGCATTCCTTTTGGTGTGTCTCCTTTGAAATATTTTCGCCCATTAATGCCATGCTACTTCCTTTTCAATCAACGTTGACTGGAACAAGCCATGAAGGAAGGACGAGATCATCTGTAAATTCCCAGTTCCCAACTATAATAAGTGCAAAGTGTTCTCCAAATACTGAGGAGCTATACTTCTAAATACTGGTTTGCTATTAACTTTGAATTTAGTAGAAAATATGGGACAGGACACTGCTGGGGAAGGGACTGCTGGAATGAGCACTAAACTCAATAAGTATACAAAGTTGGTTGTTTTACTACAATGAGCAAATTCGTGTGCAAAAAAAAAAAAAAGGCACGGAGTATAAATATTTACATAAATTGAAGAATGTAACCTGTTGCTTGTAGGTACTTTTTGAAGAGCTAACTATAAACTGCCAATAAGATCTTGAATAGTTGCATTCAGTTTTCAGAGGGTATGCTTCCTAAGCCATATGGTTGTTGAGAAATGCCAGTAATTATGAGGGGACTGTTAAAGGCTTGCAGATGAATCTTACTATTGAAAAGTCAATCTCATAGATTTCAGTGAGACTTTCAGTTCCAGAGATAGGTATCTAAGTTGAAACCTAGATGCCTTAAAAGCCAAATGATAGTTATTATCATTTTCAGTAAAAGTTTTTCAATATGCAACTAAATATTCAATCATAGTCCAATATTTTTTTCAGAGATCATAAACGCAATTAAATAAAGTAGCCATTTAAGTGATTTGGCTTTTTAAAATATATATATACCTTTTAAAATATGTAAATTGAAGTTCCTTTACAGTTAAATCCTTGTACTGAATACAGAAATGAAGTCTTGCCTTGTGATTTTCTATTTTCTGTTATTATTTCTCTGCATTCAACAATAAGAGCAGTGTACAGCAGTACAAAATAACAAAACTAAAAACAATACAGTACAATAAAGTACCGAATATGAGCCAGAAGCAAATGCTTTAAATAATGTTTAAAGAGGTACATGTAAATTAGGATGTACTAGATGCCTGACATGCTCCACCAAAAGAGTGCCACGGCTACTCTTTGTGGGAATGCTTCATAAACATTTCCCTTTGGCACTACAAGCAGTGCCTCCAAAGATCTTAGTGGGCAAGGATGGATATATACAGACAGAAGCTAGGAAGCAAATAAGGCAACATTCCAGAAACAGTTGTAGAGCACGTTGCGATAATCTAGGAGCAAGGTTGGTAAGACATGTATCACTGTGGCCAAGCTATCCTCTAGCAAGTTCTGGAGCTGGTAAACCAGCCAGAGTGGAAAATATATTGTGAAACTGGTAGTATAGTTCTCTTCCTTTCATTGTTTAAATAGTAAAGATAAGCATTAGATAAAATTTATTGTTTTGGTTCACAGCCTTGTTAAATGTATTTTCTTTTTAGAGTCCTCTGCCCACTACAAATGTAGATGTGATTGCTGAAAAGTTCCTGGAAGAAGAAGAAGAAAGATCCCATCATATTCTGGAACGCTTAAATGCACATATTGAAGAATTGAAAAAGGAGAGTGAAAGGACAGTACAACAGTTTACATACCAAAAGTAACTTTGATTCAGGGTCTGTGGATTGAAGAGCTGCTTCATTTATTGCTGCTTTCTTTAGAGGACAAGACACAGCTACTGCCTTCAGGAAGTACGTTTCTCTGCTTCTTTGTCTTAGGTATTCAGCGGCAGTGAAATCAAGGAAATGAAATTTGTCTGTAGCAAAATATTTTGTCTGATCACAGTTATTGCACTACTACAGAAAACATTTCTAACTGACCTATAGTGTTCTGCTGCCCTAAAGTAAATAGTGTGCTTCAGAGGGGATGATGTTGCCACTCTAAGGAGAGCATTTAAACATTTTATGTGTGTGTGTGCAGAAATAAAATGACGTAGATACTATTATCTTATTTTACTATGAATGCAAATAATATTGCTGATCATTTGAATATTAACTTCCTATCTATTTCCAAGGTCCCACAAAGTGACAAGTGGCCTGAGAAAAGGAGAAAAGAAAATGCCATTTTACTCCTTTTCTGGTTTTCCTGTGAGTTTGGTAGTTATTTTCTGTGTTGATTTTAGTTGCCATCAAACATCAAATTAATGGTTTAGTAATGGTCCTTTGTGCATTTTCATAGCTGTAGAAAAAATATGGTCAAATAACTGTTGCATAAAGAGAGAGATGTTTTATTATATACGTTGATTCAAAAGGTGAAGTTCAGTATAAGTAATAAACACCTATACATGGGACCAATTTAACTTAGACAACAGCTGTCTTACGAAGTACTGCACAGATGTTCCTAACCATAAGAACAAATTTGGGAGGCTGGTTGGTGTGCCAGACAGCTTTTAAAAAATTATTTAGTTTCAGGAAGAAATACGGGTTTTAAAAGCATGTCCTTGAGCAAAAACTAAGAAGCTAAACATTACCTGTTCATATTTTCAACTCATCCTTTCTATATTCCCTCTGAATTACTAGTAAGATACCAAGTTTCAATAGCCAGATACAGCTTCTTACGTTCAGTGCAATTTCAATGAGATGGAGACTTTTAGATTTTCACCCTTAAATCTTTGAAATAATTTCAGATTGTTATTGTTAGAAATATATTAAATATATAATCTCAGTTCATGATCGGCACTCTACTCTCTTCCATATTCATAATCATAATGGCATTAGTATGCTTTTTTTTTATCTGCTGGATAGTGATTTTTGACATTATCTCTTCTGGAGAAAGTGAGAGATGCCTACATTTTTAGAAGCAGTGCATATTTGGTGCCAAAACCTGAGATTACTGCAACTACTATAATGCTGAGTGTTGTTAATAACTCTAAAGAAATCCTTGCTCCCAGAGTACATCTTAATGTACACCTTAGTTTTGCAAATGCTACTGTTTTTATCTAATTCCATTCTCTTTCAGTTTTCTAATGCTTCTATTTTGCTTGCTAAATTTGCTTTTTATGGCTTCATGCCTCTCTTTGCCAACACTTTATCTTGACACTGATGGACAGTATGAAATTATACTCAGCATGAAGGCATGCCAAAAGAATAACACAAATTTTGATTTATACTGTTCTGTAGGGATGGTAAATAGTGGCTGTCAAAGCACACACAGCATTTTCTTGGTAACAAGGAATGACTCATTTTCAGTCCAGCAGAATTAATGTGCTCAGTGTTTTCTTGTATGAGACCACAATGTTGGATTTTATATAATGATCCTGAAAGAAAGAAGACATGTGCCTGTTGCTTCAGTTATCATTGGAGAAAGACTCCCTGAAAGGTGGAGATAGACAAAGCTAGTGAATGTTGTATCTCTGCCCATAAAGTGCTCTGTAGATTTATTATAACTATTTGTGATTTACTAAAACTTATTTTACATTATCTTAAAATGTAAAGTGGATGTGCAGGTAGAAAGGCTTCAGGTTGGCCTCCTCCTCCTTGTTCCCTGGGACCCAGATGAAAAGACATGATTCTATTTTCTCTGCTGGATAAGTGAAGAAACTTGGGAACAGCTTTGCAATAACTAAGGAAGTGCTGGTGTGGCGAAAGGCAATTCAATAGAGTGAGGAGAGGAAGTAGGGAAAGAAGAAGGGAGTGTAATCGTCATTAATCTGTGAGCCAGTCCACAGAGAGAAAGCAGGGAAGGAGTTCATGCATTCTGTCTCTCTGTCTCAATGAATGAATATTTTTATGCGCATATGTGTGAAAAAATGTTAATTGCTGGAATGTCTAAGGAAAAAAAAAAAAGGAAAATGGGAATAAATAGGGACTGAAAGAAGGCTGAGTGGTCCTGAAGGAGAGAGAGAAAAAAATTAAATATATTTGGGGCTCATGCTTTTTAGGCAAGTTAGTTGTCTGTTAGCTTCTACCAATTGCCATTCTATGAAATGGGTGTTTTAAAACTGCTCTCAATCCCATTTTGTGATGACACTCATGAGCTCAAAGAGAATACAGTCACTCCTCAATTGAAGCTTGTTGCTTGAGCTGGATAGAACTATGTCAAGTAGAAGAAGAAAGTGTGGGCTGCGTTGTCATGCTTGAGACAAAGGGTATACTTGGAAGCATAGAGTAGTAAAGACAGAATGATTTGAATAGCTTTTTCATTCATTGGAGTGTGAAATTATCCAATCATATACTCTCATAAATCCCACAAATGCCACGTATGCTTCTGGAAGAGGGACCTAGGGAACCCACTTAACTTTAGGTAAGTCTTGTGAGATTTTACTTCAACTCTCCACTTAAAGCAATGGGACTGAAGAACTCCTGTTAAAATAATTAGTGGAAGCTGGAGCTATTTGTCACACAACTGCATTTCTTTTTCCCTGCCCTGGCAGTTTCCTTACGTGGAGAGTCTAGGAAGAATTACACCATGTTTTCCCCAAAATGAATTCTTTATGTCTCTGAATTGCCAAAATAGTTGGCTAGTTTTGAAAGAACCTTTGTTTGGTTCAGGCATCCACTAAATCTTTCTGAATCAGCTAGGTTTTGATTAAAGATTGGCTAAAGCAGGATATATATTTAATACGTTGGGGAAAAATTACTCTTAATATTCTTTTACAGTGGAAAGACAGTATCATATGGATTTTCAGTCTTATACTGAAGACAGGTATTTACTCTCTGCATATGAACTGGCTTTTAAATTAACATAATGGAAAACTAGATAGTATTACCCTATGTGGTCAAGTTTTATAATTTTCCTTTTATTTTTATTTTTGTCTCTTTCTGTACACTAATATAAAAGCACACATACCTAAGGTGTGAAACAAAGTAGTGCATTGGGATCTTCTGTTCTCCTCTAGTATGGTCAATGCAAACAGCTTTAAGCTAAAACCTGATCTGTATATTTTAAAACTCTGTATATTGTCATACCTTATCCCAAATGACTATAGAATTCTTTGTCCCTTTGCCTTTTTTGTGTACTGTATATGTCCCTTCAAGTCAGTCTTGACTCCTGGTAAGTGCTCCAAGCAATTTTCTTGGCAACTTTTTGGGAAATGGTTTGCCATTGCCTTGTTCCTAGGGTGAAGAAAAAGTGACTGGCCTATTCAGCTGGCTTCATGCCTAAGGCAGGACTAGAACTCACAGCCTCCAAGTTTCTAGCCTGGTGTCTTTAACCACTGCACCAAATTGGCTCTCATGCCTTTGCTATTTTATGTATTTTCCAGGACTTAAGAAGCTAGTTTTTAAGTTCTTGAGAAACACTTGTTTCTGAGTTGTTTCTTAGAAAGCCAGTTGTAACAATAGTGATGTCAAGAACCTGAGACAGTTCTTTGTTTGGCACAGCAGACTGTTTCAAATGATCAATAACTCAATTTAAAAAAAAAAAATTGTAGTAAAGAGGTTGGCAATTCCTGCTGTTTGCTTTCTCATATAATGTATGGTAAATTGTTGATATGGTTGGCTACACGTAAGTAAAATGGGAGCTATATATAGCTTATGCACTATTCCATCAAACCCTTGGACTTGATGTGTGTGGAGAAAGGTCATGTATCTTGAAGCATGATGGCATAGCTGGTGCAGACACCTGAAGTACTTTTATCTGTAGCTACTGGGTTATGCCTTGAAAATGTTGAATGTTTCTTTGGAATAATCAGATGATGTTACCAGTTAATTAATAGAGTTGGAGGGGAGTTTTGTCTTCAAACCCAGACTTTTAATAACTCCAGAGGTTCTATTTTGCTTGAGTCTGGCATGTACCTTCTATTTTACATATTAAAAATATTTTGGAAATCAACTTATATATTAATAAATGTAATTGCCAGTCAGCATCATGAGTTCATAGAATGTGTAATGTAGGCACTTGTTTAGTAATATATGCCCTCATCAGGCACGGAAGATGCGGCATCCAACAGCTGGGCTCACTTGCTCATTAAAATCCTTAGTCCTGCACCAGTGTTTTTGTGCTTTATAAGTTTTAATAGAATTAAATGAATGAGTTACTTATACTTCTTATACTTCTGAAGTAAATGCAACTCCCCCTCATAAGTCCCCCTTGTTTAGTGCCATTGTAACTTTGAACGGTCACTGAACGTGTGGTTGTAACCTGAGGACTACTTGTAGCAAATCGTCAATTTCAGTAACATAGGAATGGAAACATGCAAATGACTTCTATTCCCACACGTAACTCCCCAGAAAAATCTCAAACACAAGCCCCAAATTGACCCCCCTCCCAAATATTAGGTGATCTTGCTGCTGAAAATCATGGCATGATCTTGGGGCAGTTTTTTTCCCCACTGGACTCAAAATATCATGATACTGAAAGATATTCTCTAAGCTTTACAATACAGCATATTTAGCAAAATTGAGGGGGGAGGAGGGGCCTGAAGAGATCATGGAGAATCCTTGGGAGAAACACTGGAATGCCCAGCAGTATTTTCACTTGAGTTCCCTTTTGTACTAGTCATGCTTATGTCCAGAAAAAATCCATGTACTGAATTTGCATAACAATTAGAATTTGTTTCCAATCCTACATCGGAAGACAACAGTGTTTGCAGTTTCATCTCAAGACATATAAAAGAAATAAGGGATGCATACATGTTAGCCATCCTTGCTGTTCTAGGGATGTTTCATGCATGGCAATTGATTTGGGTATATTTTCAGAATTAGAATAGGGTATGACTTGTGGGCACACAACCCCCAGACCCTATTTCCTATCACTTCAGTGGAATGTTGGCAAGGAGTGATATAAAGGCTAGATATGGCTGGAAGAGGCAGTCTGGTGTAGTGGTTAAGGCAACAGGCTAGAAACTGGGAGACTGAGTTTTGTTCCATCTGAGGCACAAAGCCAGCTGGGTGACCTTGGGCCAGTCACTCTCCCTCAGCCCTAGGAAGCAGGCAATGATAAACCACTTCTGAAATCTTGCCAAGAAAACTGTAGGGACATGTCCAGGCAGTTGCCAGGAGTCAACACTGACTCAAAGGGGTGTGTGTGTGTGTGTGCATGCGTGCACACACACACACAATATGGCTAGGGGGTGTAGAGAAAACAAAAATCCAGAAAATATTCCCTCTGAATCCTTATGGGAGAGGAGTTGGGCAGAGGGTTAGAAAGTTGTTCTGCCTTCTCCCTTCTGGTCATGTGACTCAGAGCAGCTTATAAACAACCTTTTCTGTGCTTCCCTGGTATGTATACACAGACACGTAAACATAACACTACATTAACCAGGATAAAAAAAATATGGGCATCTCCTGTGGCCACCACTGTTAATGGGGGTGAAGAGAATTCCAGGAATTATTTGCATGCTTTTCCTACTTTGTTTATACTGCGAGATCACACTCCTGAAATTCATTGGCAAAGATCCAAAATCTGCAAAAAGAACCCCTCTGGAATGATTTTCTGTAGGGACCTTTTAAAGTATTTTTTTAAAGCTAAGACTTTGGTAGATGAATGCTGCCTACCTCTATCTTGAATACCATCAACCTCGTCTAATGTGCTTCAAATTATATTTGTTGTTTCTTACATGGGGTTCCATTACTCTTCAAAGTTAGGCTCCTGCAGTGTTTCCCTGGACTACCTCCAGTGATTATGCACCAAGTATTACACTTAGAAAAATCCTTTCTCAGCCTGGTGGCCTCCAGATGTGTTTTAACTTAAGCCCCAGAATTTTCTACATAGCACCAAATTCTTTGCCTTTCAAACTGAAAGTCGTGGTCCCGTCGCACATGAAGAATTCCAGGTTGGGAAAGCCTTATTAAAGTAGTAGTGAGGACAGGCTTGAAAACAGTGATGGCAACTTTCCATAGCAATGGTCATCATCTGCCCTGTCCCTGAATTTGCAGAACATGGGCTACAAATGCGTCTACTGGCTTGTGCCACTTTAAGTACTGATAATGTCTGTTTAAGTACTGATAATGTCTGTTTAAGTACTGATAATGTCTGTTTAAATACTTTAATGTCTGTTAGTGACATCTGAGTAACAGAGCAGGAGAAATTGCTTATTTGACAAGAGTTTTTGTGTGAATCTGTAGTTCTTCAAAACTGTAATAAAACAGTAATAAAATAAGTGGCATTTGTAAAATGACTTGCTAATATTTTGTGGCTGAGATAAGGAATCCATACAGTTCTCTGAATGTATGAAACATATAATCAAAAATTAATTAATGTTACAGCACTGGAAAACCTCCAGGACCATTTAAATAAGCTTCCACATCATATTTCATTAGATAAAGTATTTTAAGGAAAAAAAATCTGCAAAATGTGGTCAGTTAGATAGTACAATAGATTGGATGAGCTGTAACTTCTATTTAAAGATTCATTTTTTGATTCAGTAAAACCATAGATGAAGTTTAAAAAGGATTTCTATATAAATAGGGCACCAGTTTCAATAATCAATTTATGTATTTGTTTAATTGTGTATTAATCAAGTTTGTCTTGGGTTATCCTGAGGTGCTTCAGTGTCAGGCTGTAGTTCATGAAGAAGCATTCCTCAAAGCAAATAATTTTTTTAATGGTTTACATAGAGATAAGTGATTTGAATTAAAAATGTTAGCTAGGTGCCACAGCCCACTGGATAAAAACTAGCATTTAATTGCATTTAAGATCTGATGTAAAACTTCTCAGTATTGTTTTATATTTGTAAGACAATGAAGTGCACACAAGAAAGCTTACATTATAGTCTTGTAAAAGCATGTTTCTTCATGTTTCTTCCAATTCTGTAGCCACTCTTGTATTGACAGTCAAAAATGTGGGTCTTTTTCTCTCCTTGGCCCAGCATGAGTTCTAGAATGCTCCTTTGTTATACATGATAATATTGAACATATCCTTTCAGAAACAGTGGTCACATCTCAAAATTATGGCAAGATGGGTGAGAATATTTGTGTAATTGCCTCTTTATATGCTAGGTACCTAAATAATTTTGCTATGCTGAAATTATTAATATGGACAAGTTTTTCCTGGTTTTTTTTATGAGTAAGTTACATTTTATATAAACCTCATGCATCATATAATATCAGTGAACAGTCTCAGGATGGGGTTTGATCAACTTAAATTGTTTCATTGCTGCTTCAGTTGGATGATCATCCAACAGCATAAAATAAATTATTCAGAGTGGAATGGATTATAGATAGATCACATATTGTGCATGTGGGCAGATGAGAAAAGTTCAAGTGGCCTATTACTGTGGCTCAACTTCATATTTCAAAATATGTGAGTAAAATTTGTGGTTAGCATTCTCCAACACCATCACATATATCTTTGTGCAGCCAGAAGTGCTGCAGGATCCTTCCCAGTAGCCATCCTTACTAAGAGACAAAGGGTAGATTTTTTCACATTGAACAAATGCTTTGGCAATGCTGTGAAGTTTAAGTTTGAACTTGATGTTGCAATTGGCTGGTAGCAATGCAGCCAGAGGCTCCACTAGTTCATAGCTTTCTGCCCACGTGCTATAAGTCTGGGGGAACATTGGCCATTTGACCTTCGTGTTTGGGCAACAGATGAGGTAATTAAAGACATATTTATAGTTACCAGGATCTGACTTCTTCTTAGCAAAGATTGTGAAAGCAAAATTTCCAGCATGCGGAAGATGGATCTTAAAGTTTATTTGGTTTCCTTGGCATTTTTGTAAGATATGCCGTCTTCCCCCATCCTCACTGAGGTTTACACTGTCTGACTGCAGTGAGGCTAAAACGCTCAAGTCTTTACTGAGGATGAAACTGAGGTCGCAGCAGCCGTCATTAGTATGAATAACAGGATCTTTTTGTGAAGGTCTGAGGATCCCTTGTCTCTCTGTGAACCAGCTGGGCCCAACTGGTTGTTGGAGTTCCTTTGGGAAACAAACATTCCTGTCTACCGAGCTGCATTCAATGTTGTATTCTAGGACACAGATGTAAACTTCTTCAGAGTCTTTGGGTGGTTTGGCATAGATTTGCAGTTTATGACTCCCCATCTTCTGTGGATATAGTTCCAGATTCATCCCATTCCTCTTCAAAGTCATCAAGCTATATTCCTTTGCCCCTTTCAGTCCAAATGTGAACAGCATTGGGGAACGGCTCTCCACCTCTACTGTGACTTTTCCATTTACTGTGACATGCAAATAAAGAAAGCTGGTTAGAATATGTCTTATTACTGAGAAACACAAATCAATCAAAAGCCCTGTAGAAAGTGATCTGAAGAATGGAATACCCAGCTTTTACTGTCAGTCACTTTGGCAGTGAAAGAGAGAGTATTGTAGTTGGCTGGATAGAATTTGTCAAAAACTTCTGTCAAATCCAAACTCAGAATAAAACAGCAACAGGGTTGAGGGCAGGGAGATTTCAGTTTTGGGACTTGTTTGCTTCTATTTTATTACTAGTGAAATAGAACTGCTCATCATTCTGAGGCTAGATAAAAGCATATGTGGCTTTTACTTACAGTTGATCTGCCTGTCCTTTGCCCTCAACAACTTAGAAGCTGTTGGAGTTCAGAGAAAGTTAAGAGAGTCCCAAAGAGAGAATTCTAAAATGAAATTCTTTGTACAGTTAAACTACTGAATGACACTGAAAGGATCAGCTGAAAACCAATGAGCTAACATGCACCTATAAGGCACTTGTATTCTGAACCTTTCTCTTTTTGTGCTTTCTTTTGAAACTGAAATATTAAAATATTCTAGGGACCCTTTCAGTCTAATTATGTAGTGGCATTTTGAACTTGGCATAAATTGTACTTGGCAGAAGTGCGAAAGTGAGTACGGCTGCAGAAATTTGAGATCCACAGGTTACTTCCACCAAGCTAATCTTTTAAATGTAATTAAAAATCACCCTCAGTCTTAAACTTTGCTGTATTTTTTTCTTCTTCCAAAAGATGGAAATGTTATATCTAATAATAATACTGGCATGTGGCAAGAAGCTTAATGATTGTACCTGTCTGAATAATCGGTGTTTCCGGATGGGCCACCAGCAAACCCATCTTGTAAAAGTTACTCATGTATAGCATGTTATTTTCAAACTGTTTTAATGTCACAGTTGGTTTGAGTAGCTGCCAGTTGTCGTTGCCTGGGAAGTGATTATTAATAAAGAGGGCGGGGTGGGTGAGGAAGTAAAATTCATTGTATCTGGAATGAGAAGGGAGAGGTCAGAATGGTATTGGCAATGTATGCAATTCCTCC